GCACCCATGGACACCTGCTATTATGTTGGGACATCATCATCAACTTGACGTCCAAAATTCCGAACTTGGGGTGATGCATCATGATCCATCGACTCTTTGTTACAAGTACCTCTCTCAGTTCAAAACAACTACCAATCAATCAGCTTTTTTCCCGATGTTTTTCCCCATTTTTTCCAGGCAACATCTTCCGTTCCCCCCATTTTTTCGTGGCCAAAACTCCCATGGTTCGCCCTCCTGAGCCCACACCGACCCGGGCCTGGTATTCCGCCTGCTTGGTCAAGTCGCGGGCCTTCTGCAAGGGCTGGGCGCTTGGGATGTTCATCTCCCCATTGATCTTGGAGATCCAGCGTTCAGCACCTCGATGACTGCGGAAGGTGAAAAAGGTGCGGAAGAAGCGGAACATTTTGGATCTTGATTCATAAGAAATTAGCAGAAGATGACTGAAAGATGGATCTCTCGATATTCACTGTGACGGTAAATGTATATTCTTTGGCTTTCCAAAGACTTCCAAAGTACCACGGTATGTACTGCAGTCTGGAGATCCCAGGTGCCCGGTGGTGTGCAATAGATTCGTTGCAATCCCGTGATACCTGAACTCCTTTTATTGCACAACTCAGCACCAAGTATGAACTCGCTTCAATTCCCTTTATAAATGGTTGCCCCAAAATCTCTATGTTTATGGTATCCATCTGTTGAAGGGAATTGTTGCCAATCCATACGTGGAAATCCATAAGCCGCGAGGCAGCTCTCGGCACAGATTGCGCCGCGGGAATCGTCTTCTTCATTCCTCGTGGCCAGAAAACCCCTTCGGTAGTCAAACATGGGGAAAATCATGGTAAAGTAATGGAAAAGATGGGACAAATATGGTACAAATATGGGAAATCACCTGTATATTGAGGTTGTCATAGGAAAATCATCTATAAATGGTGGATTTTCCATTGCCATGTTTGATTGCTAGAGTGTAAGGGAGAAAAACATCTCAAGCGGAAACCATGGTTTTTACCCTGCTATCGAAGGCGTTCATCGGCAAAATTCGCCTGAAATAAAGCCTGACTTCGAAGTGGGGGCCACAAATCATCGCTACCTGTACCAGATGTTACCAGATGTTACCAGTTGCCAGAGGTGCACAAGAATAACAATGTTGAAATCGATTGCAACATCTTGGAACATGGTAAACATTGGTAAACCACAAACTAAGAAAAACCATCCCCCAGTGGGGTGAATGATGGGGGTGAATTACCACAGATGGTGAATGCCGCCATGCCATGTCAATCATCCCGAGGAGGGATATCAACCTTCGGTAGTCGATAGCCTCTGGTAATGACTGTTACGCTTCGCTATTGAAGCCATAGCCATTGAAATAGTTGATTTACCCATTAATAGCATGGTGGATCTTTCAATAGTTGTGTTAGTTTACCAGAGGGTAGATTAGGTATGATATGGTATGATTAGGTTCTTTCACCCCTCTACTGTAGTCCCAGGTGAGTGCTGGCGAGACTCCACATCTTCTGATGGTCCTGACATCCAGCGTTGGGTAGGGGAAACAGTGAGGGTTCACATTTAGTTCATACCTATAGTCATCAAGCATGTGGAAAGATTGGTATTTGACCAACAACAAGAACAACAGCAACAGCAACAGCAACAACAACAACAACACAAACAACAACAAGAACAACAGCAACAGCAACAACAACAACAACAACACCAACAACACCAACAACACCAACAACACGTAGTAGTACAAGTGCAGATATTCAAGCAACACTCCAAGCACATCATTGTTTCCAAGTAACATCATGTTTGAGCCGCACACTGGGTGCAGGTCAAGCCCCTCGCAAGGAGAGTAGCATGGAGGTTCCAAACAATGGAGCCTACCATCATCCCTGTAGAAGAACTTTAATAGGATCACCATTTCAAATAAAACAGTGATAATAGAATGATCCTCATTTCAAATAAAAGTTTGGATCGTAACAACAATTTTGGATATGTAGGTTCCAGTTAATCATCACTCAACATTTCTCCATCCAAGGACATCATTTTGGAGTGTTTCCACATCCGTGCAGTTGACAATGTCTGGTTTCCTGCCTTGAACCGTTTACGATTTTCTGAAAATGGCGGTTCCCAAGTCGTGGTACCCCCACATCATCCAAGTCATCTGGTTCCCATGGCTATTTTGGGGATCCCCACTAAGAAACCCAGGGACAATTCAGTGAAGAGATCCAGGGAACCGTTGTTCCGTTATTGTATCATGTAATGTGGTAAGCATCCCCAAAATCACCATGATGGGTTCTATATCCCCAAAATCACCATGATGGGTTCTATAAACCCCCAAATGGTAGATTTATGATTGGGTTTCCGACATTATTATCATTATCATTATTATTACTATTACTACTACTATTACTATTACTACTACTATTACTATTACTATTACTATTACTATTACTATTACTATTACTATTACTATTACTTACTATATATTACTATACATGCCATTGATGACATTCTTGATTTACGACCTTCCCAACCGAATGCGCTTCGGTCGCCATGGAAATGTCACCGCGTGTCCCCACGCCTGGTGCTTCATGGGCCAGCTAATGGATCCAGGTTTGCAGTCTCGGAAAGGCGATGTTCATCGGAACATTGCCGGGTGGGTATCTGAAGGTGGGTTGTAAAATGGTGATTTAAATGTTGATAATGATAATGTTGATTTTAAAATGGTGATTTATAAAATGGAGTTTTAATGATATGGGTTTTTAATGGTTTTTATCATCATGTTCTGATATGGGCTTTTTGAGTGAGCATGAGTGGTTCAAAAGAGGATTTATTTCACTATTTTGGACATTGATGTCACTGTTCTATCTTTTTGCTGGTCGGCTGCTCGACCATCTCCAGACCCCCACCGGGTCACCATTCGAAAGTCATTCGGTGGCTCTCCCAGTGGATGAAGCCACCAGATCTGGTCGATCACCAAGGGACTTTCGTCCACTTCAGAGCAATCCTTGATGCCGCCATTGTCTTTGCAATGCTTACCTTAGGCTTTTCCAAGGTCAGTGATGAAATTTCTGAAAGTGCCATGTATGACTGGTATATCTGTATATCCCATGTATATCCCATGTATGACTGGTATATATTCCATCTATAGCTGGCAATAGCTGGCATATTTCATATGTCAACGTATGGTTACCCAGCTCGCAACTGGCAGAAATCCATAGCTCCAGAGGCCAGTGTCCAATTGTGAAAATCGTCCAGAAACCACATGGGGAGAACGATCAAGAGTTCTTGAGGCGCATGAGGTTACAATTCTTCACCCACATGTTACCCTCTGGTATATAATCATCTATAAACAGGTGTATCATCATAAATCATCTAACTATAAATAGTCCATTTTCCGTAGCTCTGCTAAATAACCAGATGGTGATAATCCAGAAGTACTAGCACCCCAGTAGGTTTAGTCTTTTCTATTGACCAATCACCCTCAATCATTGTGTTGTTTTCACGAGAAAAAATACAGAAGTTACCCCGCAGAAAACGATTGTTTCTCCTTGAACACCCTCCTCTATATTTACACCTGTATTTACCCCTATAAAAGTCGACCCCTAGTGGTTGGCGCTTTCAAGCCCCTTCAAGTTGAAAGGCATTCTTTGGGATCATCATCCAATGGCAATACCAGGGGTGAAATGATCAACATATTTCCAGATATTCCCAAGTAAGTATGGGTCAAGAATGGCCAGTTTAAAAAAAAAAATAGTCGAATTATCACAGATCATATTCCAAATATTCCCAATTTATTTACCAATCATGCATCAACAATAACCAACCCTTCTATGCTGATTCGACCAAAGCCATTAAGAGTCGTGAAATACCAGTTGCTTGAAAACGGGTTCCCTACTACAGTATAGGCTTTCATCATAATCCCAAAGAAATAAGCTAGTATAAGTCACAACATATCATCACCAATCATCATGTTTCACGTGTATATCAGATTATTTCTATAAATATATCTCCATTAATATGATTGATGGTTTAACAAAACATATAAAATGAAATAACTATATTAAAAAACATAACCGATCTATTTCTATCTCCATTTTTATCATTATTGATGTTTTTATCCCATTTTTCACCAACCAGGCCTTTTTCTGTCGAGATGCAGCTTCCATCCTGGGACCAAATGGCTTCACCTTAAAGCGCTTCCGCCGGCGGTCGCGGTTGGTCGCGGTCATGGATGATTTTCATGGGATTCTCCGTATGGATTTTGATGATTGAATGGGATTTTCCTAGGGAGTTTCATTGGGATTTTCATGGATGATTTGGGATACTGATGGATCTTGTGGCATCTACATCCGCAGCCTGGATTCATCCACCAATGGAAACAGGGCGGCTGTTGGAGCCAAGATACCATTCATGCATAAGCAGCATCTGGCAACGCCCGCCTGGCGCGTCTGAGTACCTCAAAGGGCTGAAAGCAACATCTTGCGCGCAGAAATTGTTTGTCAGCTTTGGAAGCAGCTGAATCTTCGTCGAAACATTAAGTTGTAGGCCATTCTATTCCTACTTGAAGAAAGAAAACTCAATCGGTCAAAGTCCGGTCAAAGTAAACAACTTCAATCTAAAACACAATCATTTGATACAGAAGTTAGCGCCAACCCGACGTTCCCTCACTGAGCGAAGGACACTGCGGGTTCACGCCATCAGAATGGGCTGGATGCTCCTAGTGAAGCCATCTAGGCATTGAGAATCGCTCAATGTTCACATAGAAACACCATGGTATTTCCATATATCACCATTATGTTTCGGCATGTTGGATCTTGAAATAGCCATTTGGGGGTATACCATGGTCCAATGGTATACCCCATTTTCAGACACCTCCCATGCAATTTACAAAGTAAACTCTTGAACCTGGTGATGCGGATATGGGTCAATCAGGTGTCATTCCACTCTGGACATGATATGAGTCGAAAGTAAGGATGCCATAAGATGGTGAAGCCATCTAGGCATTGAGAATCATTAACTGCGGAACTCCATTTATCGCCATTAATCACCAGTATCACAAAATATAACCAGATATAACCAGTATCAACCAATATTAAGAACAAAAACACCATAGCCATGTCTACTTGATCATGTGGAGCAACATGTCTTCCCGCACTGCTGGCTCCTCTGGAGCCTCCTCTTTCTCAGGACTTGCCGGTGCCTGACCAAGGAAACAGAAAGTGGATATGTATATATCTATATATAGATATGCGGAAATCTAACATAGCCATGGACCATGGAAAATGATGAATTGATGGAAAACAACACCATGAAGTGACAAAAATAAAGTAAAAACATCTACAAATAGTGAATTTCAGAGCCAGCTATGACAGCTATGTTCAATTACCAGACTGGCTTCTTATTCCTGGGATCAGTTCTCGCAATCTCACCCGCCTGAACGTCCCCCATTCTTTGATGGGAAATCAGAAGAAAATGGTCCATAAATAGGGGAAAACAACAAAACACAGTCACGTCAGATTACCGCAGGTTACATGGATGTGTCTGAAAGTTTTGGAAAACCCCTTGAATTGACTGGTTCGGCATGTTGGATCTTGAAATAGCCATTTGGGGGTATACCATGGTCCAATGGTATACCCCATTTTCAGACACCTCCCATGCAATTTACAAAGTAAACTCTTGAACCTGGTGATGCGGATATGGGTCAATCAGGTGTCATTCCACTCTGGACATGATATGAGTCGAAAGTAAGGATGCCATAAGATGGTGAAGCCATCTAGGCATTGAGAATCATTAACTGCGGAACTCCATTTATCGCCATTAATCACCAGTATCACAAAATATAACCAGATATAACCAGTATCAACCAATATTAAGAACAAAAACACCATAGCCATGTCTACTTGATCATGTGGAGCAACATGTCTTCCCGCACTGCTGGCTCCTCTGGAGCCTCCTCTTTCTCAGGACTGGCCTGTGCCTGACCAAGGAAACAGAAAGTGGATATGTATATCTATATATATATATAGATATGCGGAAATCTAACATAGCCATGGACCATGGAAAATGATGAATTGATGGAAAACAACACCATGAAGTGACAAAAATAAAGTAAAAACATCTACAAATAGTGAATTTCAGAGCCAGCTATGACAGCTATGTTCAATTACCAGACTGGCTTCTTATTCCTGGGATCATTTCTCGCAATCTCACCCGCCTGAACGTCCCCCATTCTTTGATGGGAAATCAGAAGAAAATGGTCCATAAATAGGGGAAAACAACAAAACACAGTCACGTCAGATTACCGCAGGTTACATGGATGTGTCTGAAAGTTTTGGAAAACCCCTTGAATTGACTGGTTCGGCATGTTGGATCTTGAAATAGCCATTTGGGGGTATACCATGGTCCAATGGTATACCCCATTTTCAGACACCTCCCATGCAATTTACAAAGTAAACTCTTGAACCTGGTGATGCGGATATGGGTCAATCAGGTGTCATTCCACTCTGGACATGATATGAGTCGAAAGTAAGGATGCCATAAGATGGTGAAGCCATCTAGGCATTGAGAATCATTAACTGCGGAACTCCATTTATCGCCATTAATCACCAGTATCACAAAATATAACCAGATATAACCAGTATCAACCAATATTAAGAACAAACACACCATAGCCATGTCTACTTAATCATGTGGAGCAACATGTCTTCCCGCACTGCTGGCTCCTCTGGAGCCTCCTCTTTCTCGGGACTTGCCGGTGCCTGACCAAGGAAACAGAAAGTGGATATGTATATATCTATATATAGATATGCGGAAATCTAACATAGCCATGGACCATGGAAAATGATGAATTGATGGAAAACAACACCATGAAGTGACAAAAATAAAGTAAAAACATCTACAAATAGTGAATTTCAGAGCCAGCTATGACAGCTATGTTCAATTACCAGACATGCTTCTTGAGACCATTTCTGGCAATCTCACCCGCCTGGACGTCCCCCATTCTTTGATGGGAAATCAGAAGAAATGGGGGGAAAAATTCCACAGTCACGTCAGATTACCACAGGTTACATGGATGTGTCTGAAAGTTTGGGAAAAAAAACTTGAATTGACTGGTTCATCGGCATTTTGGATCTTAAAACAACCCTTTGCGGGTATACCCCATGTTCGTGTAATTTACAAAGTGAACCCTTAAACCTGGTGATGCGCATATGGGTCAATCAGGTGATATTCCACTCTGGAAAGTAATGATGCCATAAGATGGTGAAGCCATCTAGGCATTGAGAATCATTAACTGCGGAACTCCATTTATCGCCATTAATCACCAGTATCACAAAATATAACCAGATATAACCAGTATCAACCAATATTAAGAACAAAAACACCATAGCCATGTCTACTTGATCATGTGGAGCAACATGTCTTCCCGCACTGCTGGCTCCTCTGGAGCCTCATCTTTCTCGGGAGTGGCCGGTGCCTGACCAAGGAAACAGAAAGTGGACATATACGCGGACATCCAACATAGCCATGGACCATGGAAAATGATGAATTGATGGAAAACAACACCATGAAGTGACAAAAATAAAGTAAAAACATCTACAAATAGTGAATTTCAGAGCCAGCTATGACAGCTATGTTCAATTACCAGACTGGCTTCTTATAGCTGGGATCATTTCTGGCAATCTCACCCGGCTGGCCCGGCTGGACGTCCCCCATTCTTGAGTGGGACATCAGAAGAAAATGGTCTATATATAAGTAGGGGGAAAAAATGGAAACAAATCCACAGTAACGTCAGATTACCACAGGTTACATGGATGTGTCTGAAAGTTTTGGAAAAAAACCTTGAATTGACTGGTTCATCGGCATTTTGGATCTTAAAATAACCATTTGCGGGTATACCCTATGTTCATGTAATAAAGTAAACCCTTAAACCTGGTGATGCGCATATGGGTCAATCTGGTGCCATTCAGCCTTCGACTTGCCACTTCTTTTCAAGTCTCGAAAATATAGGTACATACACGACTATACAGACAATACATAAACAGATATATAATATATACATATTCTATACAGCAATCCTATCAAAACTCTTCTATAAAGTCTAGCAAATTCCAAGGTCCCAAAAAACACATCCCAGCTGCCCTCTGTGGGCAGCCAACACAGCACTGCAGCGGTACCTCTTCCTTGGTCTCCTCCACTACTTCATCGAAAGCGCTGCTTTTTCCTGGAGCACCGGAGGTGAAAGGTAGGAATCATCCCTAATAAACATGAAACCGAAATCTCCCATGTCTAGCATTGGGTCTACCACATTAGCTGGATTCCTTTCTCAAGCATCTCCATCATGCCACCCGAGGTTTCCAGCACCCTCCACGTGTCATGATGCAACTTTGGGGTATCTTGATAAAGGTCAAGTCTGTCCAGAAATTTTCACTTTCCCATCTATGAGGTATCATTTACCCTCTGGTTATTTAACATAGCCATGGAAAATCACCATTTTTAATAGGTAAGCCATCTATAAATGGGCCATCTATACCATGGCTATGTTAAATAACCAGAGGGTAAAACATCTCAAAATTCTCAAAATAGGTCAAAATCATCCATTTCACCCGCCAAAAGTCCACATCTGCGTGTTTTTTTTGGGCCAATGAAACACTCGCCATTGCTTGGATCCCATTCAACTTCCGTTGGATCCCACAACTCAGCGCACCTCTGATCCTCACAGGAAGATCCTGCAGGTCTAGGAAATGCCCTTGAACCATTGGGGTTTCAACAAAAAAACCATAATGTGATCTATAAATTTGTAATGTTGTTTTTTTATAGATCACATTATTATAATGGGATCCATTATTATAAAACCAATAATGTGATTATAATGGGAACCCTTGGGGGTAAAAAAAAAATGTTGCTTCATTATCATTGGGATCTATATTAGGGATCTATCTTTGGTCCAATTCTTCAATTTCAAACCCGGCACCTCGCAGGTCGTGGTTAGTGACATCATGGATCTTCAAATCTGGAAAAAAATATGTGGGGAACCGTATTTCAGCAGTTGGAGGTTTATGAAGCAATGAGTATCAACCATGTTCAAAGATCCTAAATTCCTATGAATCGTCCATCAATGACTAATCGACTCTCAACCCCTACTTGGACTTGAGGGCGTCGCAAAAAACTATTCAAAAAACGATCGATTCCCCACATGGTGGATTTCCCGTCGGGAAAATCCAAAAAATCGCAAGCCAAACCCAAGCTAATTACCATCCCCCCAACTAACATAGAGATTAGTCCACTAGAAATTTGCGATGTTCAGGTTCTACCTTAATTGACTGGCGGGTAATCCACCACATGGCCAGGTGTAGACATCCCAAAATTATAGATGACATTTGATAAGAATGAAACGAAAACACTGTTATATGTTTTTTGATGAACTACCCTCTGGTAATTTAACGGTTTGCTATTGAAAATGGCCATATTTATAGTTGATTTTCCTATGAAAATAGCATGGTGATGTTCCATAGTTATGTAAACGTTTACTAAAGGGTAATCAAATGTCCCATCAAAATGCCAAACTCATCGGGAAATTCCCCATTTAAAAAGGGGAGGGTCATCGACACCGCCTCTGGCCCGCACAGGAAGGCCGACCGAGCGCTGAAACGGCGCCCCGCAGTGCAAGCCTGGCGACCACAGCAGAATGGTAGGAAAACGATGGAAAATTTGGGGGAGAACCACCATTTTCCATCAGTTCTCCGGGAAAACCAAGGGAAAATGGTGGTTTAATGGGACTTATATGTGACTTCATAGGGATTTATCAGGAATCCATATGGGATTTACAATAAGGTAAACTAACAAAAAAATGTGGAAAACCACACGGGGAAAGCCGGAAAATGATCTACAAATGGTGGGTCAACATCGAACTGTTAGTGGAGGATGGGGAAGAAGTGGAGAATCAACCTACCCACTAAGGTGACCTTCCAATAGATGGATGTAGATGGATGTGGATGGCCACAAACCCAAACATTGCAGGGGTCACCCAACCGGGGTTGATTGAATCCTGAGAATTGAGAAATAACATATATGTGACTCAGAAAAATGTGGGATTCAGTCAACAAATTTTGTAGCAAAATAGAGATATGTAGCCACAGTGGCATTACTACCAGAACAACTCCTTATGTCAACCCCATGGACATCCTTGAGAGAACTCAAACATCCACGTAAAATTGGGCGGATGTGCTGGGAGTTTAGAAAGCTCCTGGGTCAAGTCGTACAAATTCCGAAACTACACATGGAAAAAATATGAAAAAATGTGTGGAACGGATCGAAAGGATTGGTTTGGGGAGAAATTTGCAGCAAAACCTCATATTGTTATTGAAATATATGGAATGGGACCGTGGTTTATGATGGTTTACACTCAAAAAAAACTCCCAATGAGTGGGTGGTCGAAAAGCTGGGACCCTGAAAAAACCAAAACAAACTGATCCACCTACCTCCAATAACGGTTGCCATTGGCACACCTGTCTGCTTCGGCAAGGGGCTTTGATGAGGGCCATCCCGGCGAAAAGTTTGGATCACCAATGAGCTTATGAGATTACAATGATATCATGGTGGGGATACTGATAGTAGGATATATATATATATAATATATATAATCTACTCCACCCACATAGAATATGGAATTGAAATTTTGGTTTCCCAGGGCATCCCCAGAATTGAACTTAAAAACATTTACTTAGTATACAGTTGACGTCACATAGAATATCGTTGGGCCATATAAATTCTTTCACTTTTCAACTGACGAATTCATATTTTTTCCATAGAAATTCTTCACTTTTCTTTATAATTCCTTCATGTTTCCATACAATTTCTTCACTCTTCCATATTTTTGCCATACAAATTCTTTCACTTGGTCAGTCAAATTCATCGTTTTTCCATATTTTTTTTAAATAAATTCTTCACATTTCTATACAAATTCTTCACTTTTCCACATTTTCTCCATAAAAAATTCTTTCATGTTTCCAGACAAATTCATTATTTTTCCATATAAATTCTTCACTTTCCTATAAAAAATCCGCACGTTTCCATACAAATTCTTCAGTTTACCATATTTTTGCCATACAGATTCTTTTCGGCAGTTGGCTGGGCTGCAGCCCGACTCGTGCTAACAGCCCTCCGCAGCAGCGCCGCGGCTATTCTTCAGCGCTCATGGGCACCTCAGTGGGGGGAGGGCCGGCCGCCCCCCCTCCGCACTGCCGGCATTGTGCCGGCCTTTTTCCCGCATCTTTGCTTCAGCTTCTCTGATCCGAGACATCTGCTCGATGACTGCCGGAGCAGCCACCCTACTACCCCACCCAATACGGGCAATTATCTGGCTATCCGGCACAGGATGGGTGCGCAGATGTTGGAATTTGCTGCATTCCCACAACACATGGTGGACGCTCGGGACTTGATTCTCCAAACAGTATGGGCAAGCCTGTGGAATTGGCAACTTGTTGATTTTGGCCGTGATGGCAGGTGTCATCATGCCGCCAGTGACCACAGCAATAGTGTGGCCATTTGCCTTATGAAGGAGCTTGCGGACCTTGTCCATGACTTCCTCCGTGATCTGGACTCCTTCTGCACGGGCCATGACGGCGTCACGGCGGCTGGATTTCAGCCAAGCGTTGAGCTCCTGCATCCTCCACAACTGTCTGAGTTCATGAAGAAATCGTTCAAGAGTGTCAGCTTCTTCCGGACCCCCACCGTGGGGAGCTTAAGAGCAGATCCCTGCGCTGCTCCAGCGCAAACCCACAGAGGGACCTGACTGAATTGGAATTTCTTGTTGCAAGTCGCACACTCCCACTTGGGTTTTTTGTTGCCTTGCCGGACAGGACTAATGCATTATGTATCCCAGGCCAGCCTCCTTCCTTAACCAAGGTGCTAAATGCGGCGCATCTCTTCGTCCAGCCTCGAATATTGGCTTGTCGTTGTTTGTCCTTTGACCTCCTTGGCATCAGGGCGGGGTGGCACTGCAGCACCTGTGATTCGGTGTTTCTTCCTCAGGTGCGATCTGCGCCTGGTGTCCTCATCAGTGAGGTCAGAGTGGCGAAAGACTTGGTACCCACATTGACCACAAGTCCATTAAAGACTATGCCATCGGGGAAGGGATCAGGATTGGCATCAACCTGTCCTTCAGGGTTGCTAGAGACAGGGTTCTTATCAGCAGATCGAAGCTCCTGTGTTTCAAGTTGGTTATTTGCCTTAGTGGGCACTGGCACTGGGTAGCAAGACGACTTGCCACCAAAAGGACTTGTTATTGCACTCCCTGGGCCTGTCAGGGAAGTATGCGACTTCGCAGCAGCCGAAGGGGCCATTTTTCCCCAGAGCTGATGAGACAGGGAGACACAGGTGTGGACGGAGGGAGTAGGGGGACCTTCGTGTGAAGAAACAATCCTACATGACCTATTCCCTTCAGCCCGCACAACAACAGCAGAATTAAGGACAGGGACAGCCTGCGCATGCGTTTGGACGGTGTGAACCAACGGAGTACCCACGGAGACATCCCGACCCAAAACTCGACAGCCCGCAGGAAACCCAGCGACAGTGTGGACAGACGGGGTACCCGGACCTTCGACAGACCGACCTTTGGGAGATAACACCTGACACTGGGAAGGGCTGATCGGACGAGACGGAGAACCTTGCGACTCCCAAGAGTGGACCGACGGAGTGGCAGCGCTAGACTCGACCGCGGAACCCCGAAGGACTTCCCGATGGGGAATAGCACTTTGACTTAACCAACCCACAGGAATGGCCTTAGTTGACAGAGGCTGAATCCAAGAGTAGTATTGGTCCTGCAGCCTCAGTATTATTGGGCTTTTGTCCCGAGCACACTTTGCATTGCCCTTTTGGTCAAAGGCTGTCGCAAGAGTACAGCGTTTCCAATACCCCTCATGTGAAAACCAAATAATAAAAGGACAACCTTGTTTGTGGGCAGCAGCCAACAAAGTGACTCCATCAATCCAAGTGTTGGGTTGTGAGCTTTCCCATACATATTGTTCGACCACTTGGTCCTGATTGGGCGCCGGCTGAGACGGACTGGTGTTGACGTCCGGCAAAATAAACTCCTTGAACTCATTCAAATGTTTTCTCAAATGCTGCACAGCCTGAGTGCGCACCAGTGCGCCCTGGCGCTGGGCCTCTTCGGGGGACAGGATCGAACCGTCCTTGGCGTATGCTAAGGCTCCAGCAATTGACTTGTAGCCGCAATCGCCACAGCCTCCCAAGTCGTGCACCTTCCATCCTTCTGACAAAAAGGATTGAAGGATGTCGTCAGCTGGGTGCACAGCTGGAGGCGCCTGTGCCGTCGTTCTCGGACGGCGGGCGGGTGACCCTTCTGTTTCTTTGGTTTCAAGTGTTGCTTCATGTTCCATATCCTCATTATGAGGGACAGGAATGTTTACAGAATTTTCACCAAACTTCTGTTTGAAACTTCTCCTAGGTGGCTGCACCGGAGTCGTTTGCACTTTTTGTTTTGGCCTAAGCTGCTTTCTGAGGAGTCCTCGTCCTCGTACTGCCAAAAAACCATTGTTCATCAGATGGGGGAATCCCTTTGACCCACCAAGCCACGAGATTCCTGCCCATCGATCTCCTACCCAGGGTGCTGCAACTTTCCCAAGCCACACTCTGAAGAAAGGACAGCACATCTTCAGTATCCCAATCTTTGGGGATACCCTGCACAGAAACCACCTGACGCCCTTGCTGCTGCTGTCCTGGAGGTAATATGTAGCCGAGGTCACGGCCGCCACCGGAGCGAAAACGCAAGCCCTTAGAGTCAGCCTCCTTTAGGCATCTGGCAAGATATGCCTCAGGGTCTTCTTTTCCTTGCTTTTCAATCCAACGCATTGTTTCTCTTCCGTCAGTGACCTTAGTCTGTGTCAAAAAGATTCCTTTTCTCCCACTGCAAAGGACCAGTTTCTGGGCCAATTCCGGCGAAACTCGGAGATGACCAATCAACTGGTCGATCCTTAATGTTTTTTCCCTACGCCAATCACCGCCCGAAAGGACCGAGGCCTTGGTGAGCTGCAAACTGGCCAATTCTGTCAAGATATCGGCCGGAGAGTCTGGTTTGGGGTTCGTTTTGAAAAACTTACGGTAGTGTTCTGGCGCGTTCACCCTGATGACCACTTTGGTTGCAGGTTGAAATTTCTGGATATCAGCTTTGACGGCAGGACGTACCCACGGGCATGCGCTGCGCGTGCCCAGAGGCCACAAGTGCACATTCTCAGCTCGAAACTGTTTACCTCCATGTCTTTTTAGGGAAACTTTGGTTAGGGCCCCTCCCAGTCCTCCGTTTTGAGCATCACACAGGACAGTCAAAGACACAAAGGTGCCAAATGAGCTCCATTAAGTGTGCGTAGCTCTTGGACCTCCGAGAAGCTCTTTGCCACAATCAAATTCCCTGCTATGTCCTGGCCTTGGCTGAGTGCTTGACGAACTGCATTGAGAGTCGTGACTTTGATTGGTACGGTCCATTCCGCTGGCTGCACTGCACAAATTGGACCAAGGTTTGAATTACCTTGGTTGTCATTGGTGGTGAACTCCTTCTTTTTCAAAACAGGAAAGTCAGCATCATACCTGTTCTGAAGGTAAAAGCTTTGCTTAGTAGTTTCATTTTTTCTTCGTGTCGTTCCGGTGTGGGCACGAACCTAGTCACTTTCCAGGCTGAGCACTTGCATCTGGAGAGTCTTGCTCTTTATTGTCTAAGTTCCACTGAACAGCCCTTTGTGCCTGAAAAGGTTTCTCGCGGGTCCACTGGCCGAGCGAAGACTTGATCTTCTGGGCCACCGTACTGTCCTTATCCCCTTGGGATATACATTCTCGCAACAGCATCATGAGATTTTGAGCAAGTGTCTTGTCATCTGCCGGCTTGAGGATACCCCTTGGCTTTTTGTGAGGAGGATGTTTATCAGCCCTGTCACTTTGTTTATTCTCGCAACAAAACAAAAATTGAAGCAAACCGGCAGCCAAATCATCGGACTGGGTCTTGTTATTCTCCTTTCGTCTTTTCTTGGTTCTGTGGGATCCATACGCCCCCCCCCTTGAGCATTTCCGACCATTCACGGCCAGTCAGATTGGCCACGTTAAAAGTAGGAGCATTCCGACTGGTGTCTTGTCTGGGTTTGGCATAAGCCCTGAAACCATATGACCTAACCAACCAATGCCCAGCGCGAGGAGTGTACCAGTGGTCTTTTTTGACTCTGTGATTTCTTAACCGGCCCACATGAGCATGGAAAGAAATTCTTTTGGGTGATCTGGTGCCACACAGCCTTCTTCGACCAGCAAACCTAGCCCTTTTTGCCAAATAGAAACGGAAGCTCCAAGCTGACTGTCTATTTTGACGCATGACAAGGTTGACCCTATCCATGTACTGCAAATGACGTCTGATTTTGCGTTTCCGACATTTGGTCTCTGTTTTGTTTTTCCTAGACCTAAACTGGCTCTTCCGATTGACAGCATCAGGATTCCACAACCAGGCCACTAAACTGAGAAACCACCGATTCAGGGCCAACAGGTTCATAAATGAAAGAATCCCACCAACAGACACGGTCCCGAACCATTTCAAAACATGAAAGGATCCCAACTGACAACAGGTGAACAAATAAGTGTCGTCCAAATCCGACCCATTGCACCAAGTCACTTGTAACCCAAGTTGCAAACTGTGAAGCCACTTCCCAAGTTCTGCTGCTAGCGCTATTCACCGCGCGCTGCTCAGCATCCATCAGCAAGGGTACTCGCTTGTCGGCCAGCGCAGTGGCATTCCGCTGCCGCCATGGCCGCCCCGGTCGCTCCGAGGTGAGGGGGGCCCAAGGGGCCGGTAAAGTTTCGGAAGCAAATTCTTCCCATGGTTTCTCGACAAGGTTAAGAGCAGAAGCAGCAGCAGAACGCAGCAAGGTGGAGTACATCAGCACCTGCAGGCAGCCGCCAGCCAGCACTAAATTCAAACGGGTTCTACACCCTTTTTTCCCAGGTCCCATGCCTGGTTCACTATTGAATTCTTTTTGCCTCTCAGAGGAGGCTTTGTCTTTTTTGTTTTTCTTTTTTGGTATTTCTTCGTCGTTTTTGTTTTTTTCATTTTTTGGTCCTCTTTTTTACTATTTTTTTGGTTTCCCTCACACATGCAACAACGTGCTAACCACGTGGTGAAGACCACGATTGGCTGGACTACTCTGTGCCATCCTGCAGCGATGGCCCGCATCAACCGATTCGGGGAGGTGTAGTCTTTGATGCCATACAGATTCTTTTCCATATAAATCATACAGATTCTTTTCCATATAAATTATTTTCCCTTTTCAGTCAGATTCTTCACTTTTTCCATATGTATTTCTTCATTTTTCTCTATAAATCCGTCACATTTCCATACAATTTCTTCACTTTTCCATTTTTTTCCATACAAATTCTTTCATGTGTGCAACCTAATTTCCCGAAATGGTTTGAATCAGCATTGCTCAATCCAGCCCATTTCCTATGTATCTCCACCATTCGTGGTGGGGACCCTTTGCGGTAGAAAAAAATGTACTTTTTAGTACACAAAGTAATTATTAAATCGGTCAAGTTCTTAATTTTTGTCACCAAATTGTGAAAACCTTTTTTGTTTTTCCTCATCATACTATCTTGCTTTCCTGAATACGATTTGAAAGGGGGAACCTCCCTTTCCTTTGATGAAACCCTGTATCACCGCCATATTCTATGTATGTGCGTTTGCAACCTAATTTTCCGAAATGGTTTGAATCAGTATTGCTCAATCTAGACCATTTCCGAGGATCTCCACCATTCGTGGGGGGGACCCTTTGCGGTAGAAAAAAATAACGACTTTTTAGCACACCAAGTAAGAAGAAATCGGTGAATTTGGGGACCCTGCCAGTTTCTAATTCTTGTCACCAAACACCATGTGAAAACCTTTTTCACTTTTCCTCATCCTACTATCTTGCCCTCCTGAATACGATTTGAAAGGGGGACCTCCCTTTCCTTTGATGAAATCCTTCCAGAGCGAAGACCAAATGGGGAGAAAAACCATGAACACGAAATGGGGGCATATTCTAAGTAGATTTGCATTCGAGTTCAACTGCAGAATTAGAAAAACGCATATTCTATGTGGGTGGGGTAGATTATATATATATATAGTTGGACATATCGTGACATATCTTCTAAAAAATGACAGATTGCACATGTTCTATCGTCAAGTTCGACGCGTATGCAATGGGATAATCAGGAAATAAATGGGACTACATAAGCCATCCACAATTGCAGGGATTATAATGGAGATAGTGGGGGTTAATTATCAACGATATGATATGGGAGTAATAAACATGGGATGAATGGGGTATGGTCATCCATCCCATGCCATGGGAATCCACACATGATTGGTATATAAAGCCCTATTCATTGATTGATGCCCAAAGGCAAATGTCATAAAAAGAAAAGCAAATTGGACATGGAACTAGTCACAATCTTTGTGTTTAGATCATACTTCGGCCCAAAAGAAGTACAATCATGGGAGCGTTCTGACCATCCCCTTTATCGTAAATCAAACTCGCCGTTGACATCACGAGGAAACATTCAGGGAAAATCTTTTTGGGAACCATGGGTTTTTCTTTTCAAATATGGTGGTAAAGCCGGCAAATGTTCTCTTCAAGCAATTCTGGGACTGTGACCCTTAAACATCTAATAGCCATTAACAACACTATGCTTAAGCCCATATGATTGGGATATCTGTTTAACCCATACAATTATGTGGCGCCTTAAACTGTAACCTTGGAGTACCCCAAAACCTTTGGTTTCCCACAGAAAATAGAGAATTTGGGATGACAACTGATAACTTGGGGTCCGCCACTTCAAGAAAAACCCATTTACCAAGTATTTGGGTTGGCTAGAGGATCAAAAAAAAACAAATAAGGATCAAAAAAAACCAAAAAATAAGGGATCAAAAAAAAAACAAATAAGGATCAAAAAAAAACAAAAAATGTAGTTGTAGTAGAAGTAGTAGTAGTAGTAGTAGTACTAGTAGTACTAGTAGTACTAGTAGTACTAGTAGTACTAGTAGTACTAGTAGTAGTAGTAGTAGTAGTAGTAGTAGCAGCAGTAGTAGTAATAGTAGTCGTAGGCGTAGTCGTAGTCGTAGTCATAGGAGCAGTAGTAGGAGTAGTAGTAGTAGTAGTAGCAGTAGTAGTAGTAGGAGTAGTAATGGTACTAGTAGTAGTAGTAGTGGTAGTAGTAGTAGTAGCAGTAGCAGTAGCAGTAGTAGTAGTAGTAGCAGCAGCAGCAGCAAGAATGAACATATATTATATAAAAAATAAACCCAAATAAACGATGCTTGCGAAAAAAAAGAAATAGAGTAGGTAGCAAGGGAAGCTGATGAAAAAATAAAAGCGGGTGGGGGGGTGCAGAGAGGAGGGCGCAGCGCCTCCCCCCGCAATGCGTACCAAGAAAGAAGCACACAGGCTCAAGTCTCGATGGATATAAATAAAGATTAAGAAAGAGAAGATGAACCCAAAGAAACGATACATATGAAAAAAAAGAAAGAGAGTAGGTAGCAAGGGAAGTCGATTAAAAAATAAAAGCGGGTGGGGGGGTGCAGGGGGGAGGGCGCAGCGCCTCCCCCCGCAATGCGTACCAAGAAAGAAGCACACAGGCTCAAGCCTCGATGGATATAAATAAAGATTAAGAAAGAGAAGATGAACCCAAAGAAACGATACCTATGAAAAAAATGAAAGAGAGCAGGTAGCAAGGGAAGTCAATTAAGAAATAAAAGCGGGTGGGGGGGTTGCAGGGGGGAGGGCGCAGCGCCTCCCCCCGCAATGCGTACCAAGAAAGAAGTACATAGGCACAAGTCGCGATGGATATCAATCAAGATTAAATGAACCCAAATAAACAACGATGATGCTTGGGAAAAAAAGAATAGTAGGTAGCAAGGCGAGCCGGCTAAAAAATAAAAGCGGGTGGGGGGGTCAAGAGAAGGAAGCTTTCCTTTCATTTTTCAAGAGAAGGTTACTTCTTTCTTTCTTTCTTTCTTTCTTTCTTTCTTCGTTCCTTCCTTCCCTCCTTCCCTCCTTCCCTCCTTCCCTCCTTCCCTCCTTCCCTCCTTCCTTCCTTCCTTCCTTCCTTCCTTCCTTCCTTCCTTCCTTCCTTCTTCCTTCATTCCTTCCTTCCTTTCCTTGCTTCCCTTATTTCCTTCCTTCCTTCCTTTCCTTGCTTCCCTTCTTTCATTCCTTCCTTCCTTTCTTGCTTCCTTTCTCTCCTTCCTTCCTTCCTTCATTCCTTCCTTCCTTTCCTGCTTCCCTTCTTTCATTCCTTCCTTCTTTCCTTCCTTCCTTTCTTGCTTCCTTTCTCTCCTTCCTTCCTTCCTTCCTTCCTTCCTTCCTTCCTTCCTTCCTTCCTTCCTTCCTTCCTTCCTTCCTTCTCCTCCTTTAGTTTTCAAATTTGTTTTTTTGATCCCTATTTGTTTTTTTTTGATCCTTATTTGGTTTTTTTTGATCCCTATTTGTTTTTTTTTTGATCCCTCTCCCATTTGGGTTGATCCAAACATTAGTTTGAGAAGACCCCCAGAATCCAAAAGCTTAAAACCTGGTCTTCGACACATTCCCCACAAAAACGGCCGATCTCCCACCGCCGCCCTGGGGGGATACCTTCTTCGGCACCGTGGGTGCAGCGGCTGCGGTCACCACATCATGAAGGGATGGGTCCCGCATGGCGACGTTGGCTTTTGGTTGGTGTGACACCTGCGGGGTAACCTGAGATGTAGGGGATATGTATAGAAACGTATTAAAAATGTGAAGATATGTGAATATGATACATGATGATACATGTATTATTGATATGCATGTGTGTTTTTAAATTCCGAATTGATTTGATTCTACGTTTAAAAAGGGTCTTAGAAGTGATAACGGTTGGTGGAATTTTGACTTCGAATTGGGGAAAGGAAGGGCCTGGCTCTAGCTACATATACCTTGAGATACTACAAAATAAAGTGATGAAAGCCACCAGTGAAGCCACTGAGACATAAAAGTTTCCTGACATCTTGATCCAGCTGGCCATATGCAGGAAGAACCATGATACTCTGTGCGATGACAAATCAATGTGATGTACAGAATTCATGATCCTTGCCATTCATCCCCATTTGGTACCATCTGTAGATAATTCACTTCACAGAAGGAAGCTTTTCCCATTGCACTGAAGACTCCAACCCTTCAAAATGGGAACGCCTTCTCAAAGCGTATCCCAATCATCCCAGGACACCCCTGGTTTTCAGGCCATGGCCACATCTTCGCAGTTTTCTTTCGCCCAATTGTTGCAATTGCTATGCCATTTTCGGCAACAGCATGTGAAACAGGCACAATTCAGCGCGTGAAACATGTGTGCAAATGATCTGGTGACGTTCTCTAGCAGGCCAAAGGATATTGCACTATACCAGGAGTTGTAATTCTTTTGGATTCTTTTGGTGTGCCAACCGTTGGAGTTTCCGGATTTGGCTGTAAAGGTGTGCTCCAATTCTCCTGCGCTTCATTCATCTCCGAAGACATGGCAAGTGCATTGCGGCATATCCTTCGGCCAACTCCGATTTCCTACATGGTGGTTCCCTGAAATGGGGTACCCCTAAATCATCCATTTAAATAGAATTTTCCATTGTAAACCATCCATAGACTTGCGGTGTCGCAACTTGGAAGCAGCCCGTCCGACTGACCATCTAAATCTATCTGAATCATTCTAAATCTACAGTCGGATCTTCAGCTGCGGTCGCTGCTCCATCACTTTGCGAAGGGCAGCTGTCCCGATGTCACTGAAGCCTGGCTGCTACAACTTCCAGCTGTGTCAATTTCAACATCTTCTCATCTCACAGACTCCAACATCTTCGTTCATCTTTGAGAGATTGGGGGTGAACAAAAAAACATGCCGTCATTCCAAAGGTTCTCAAAACAATGTAAAACAATGCCAAACATATCGCCAAAAAACGGTTTCCAGTCAGACTCAGATGTTCCAATCGATCAGCAGCTGAGCTCATCAGTGCCTCTGCCATTGCATCTGCATCTTCATCTTGTAGAGAACACGACTCCATTTGGATGTCCGCCGCACCTGAGGTCACCATCGCCACGGCATCTTGCCCCTTCAGGGCATTGCCATTTACCACCAAGTACTCCAACTTACTGTAGTGTGGCAAGGCGTCATGTAGACACTCCAGGTCATCCAAAGAGAGTTGTTGGAGCTGCAAGTGTGTTGTCTTGGAGACTTTGTCTCTGAACACCTTCTCTTGCAATGCAAGCACCTGCTCGGCATCATTTCGATGCGTGAACCGCATCCTTTGCATCCTCTTCCTGAATATTTCTGGAGGAGTGGGAATACAACCTCCAAGCACATCCATACGCAGGCGGGACCACTCAGATTCACTCTGGCACCAACCTCGAAGCTCATAGGGGGTGTTGTTCAGCCTCAGCTCGCAGATTGGTGTCAGTTTCACCTGGTCTTCCGTCGCGTTGTACACCAAAATCTCGCCCTCGAACTTCTTGTCCTCAGGTGTGAGTTCAGTGAGGATGTCTACGTGCACAATCTCATGACTGTACAGCCAGTGCATTCGCTTCAGCCCCTTCCTGAAGAACTCATCTTCTTCAGCAGATCTCTTGTACTGATAGGCAGGAAGTCCACGAAGACCCACGTCACCGAATCCTTGGGTAATTCTCGGTACCTCTCCACAATGCTGCGGACCTGGAATCCCCAGGGATCCGGATGCTCCATTGCCTCCCACATGTGGGAGATTGACCGGAATCGCACTATGGAGGGGCCCTCAGCCGTGCGGATTGTGACGTGTCCTCACAGGGCGGACACTATGCAGTGCCAGACAAGCATAAATCTGATGATTACAGTAAAATTCAATCATATGCTTATGCGGACCAGAAATCTAGCACAACATCCATCCATCTACAATAATCCGCCGACCCCGGCAGACGCAAGGGGGAGCGCGCCAGGGAATAATACTTTTGGCTCTTGTTTTGGACTACCGCAGCCGCAGCCGCAGCCGCAGCAGCAGCAGCAGCAGCAGCAGCAGCAGTTGTTAGGCACTTTTTTGCTGCGATTTTCCGCAATTTTTGGCACGAAATTAGGTGGTGTTTTGCTGTTTCGAGTGAGTGTTTCGAAAAAGATGTCTGGCTGTTGGTTTCTCGCCTTGGAGGCTGGTTGATGGCACGGCAGGAGCAGCAGCAGCAGCAGCATCAGCGGACGACAGCACCAGCAGCGGCAGCTGCCGCTGCCTCCGTCCTTCACTACTATGGTGTTTCCCTGTCCGGGACCCACGTTTTTGTAGCAGCCAGCAGGCAGCCAGTACTATACAGTACTCTAAGCTTTTCTGGGACATATAGTCTGGGATTCCCTAGGATTCTCTAGGATTTCAGAAGACACGTTAGGCACTTTTTTGTTGCGATTTTGCGCCATTTTTGGCACGAAATTAGGTGGTGTTTTGCTGTTTCGAGTGAGTTTCGAACAAGATGTCTG